TGGGCGTGGAGCCCCACGTGGGGCTCGATCCTATGACCCTGGGATCATGACCTGAGCCGAAATCAAGAGTCAGACGCCCAAACCGACTGAGCCACCCAGGCGCCCCTGTGTATTCACTTTTTTTTCTCAAGGCAAGGCAGGAATCCCAGAGACAGAGTCACTTTGAAAGTGAAATTCGGAGCCGGAATGCTGGCTGTACCACTTTGTGGAGTCAGCAGCCTCTCTGAGCCTCAACTTCCTCGCCTATAAAGGGACTCCAGGGCCGAGGGAGAGGGGCTCCGCCTCGCAAATAAATCGCAAGTGGGGAGGCGATGGGAGCAGGAGTGCTGGGCTCCTGCCCTCAGGGTCCCCGAGCAGGCCTCTGGGGAGCCCCCTGGGGCCCCGAGGGCAGAGGAGCTGAACCTAGTCTGGCTCCTCCCCCCTGCAGATCTTCTCGCTGGGCTACTGCCCCACCGGGGAGTGGCTGGCCGTGGGCATGGAGAGTAGCAACGTAGAGGTGCTGCACCACACCAAGCCCGACAAGTACCAGCTGCACCTGCACGAGAGCTGCGTGCTCTCCCTCAAGTTCGCCTACTGCGGTGAGCCTCGGGGAGCCGGGAGCCCGGCGCAGAGGAGGGCCCCTAGGGCTTATAGAAAGTCACAGCCCTGGAGTGAGCCATGTCCTGGAATCGGACCTCCTGATCGCGACCACTGTCCCTCCCCCCGCCTCCCCATCCTTATCCCGGGGATGCAGATACTGCCACAGGGTGCCAAGCTCTCATGGCGCCCGGCCAGAGCCAGTCCCTGCAGGCCTGTGGGCCAGAGGAACAATGCTCACAGCCTCGTGAGCCTTTCCTCCAGGCGGCTGAGACCGCGGGCTGCGATGGCCGATGGCCCCGGACTGGGACATCTGCTTCCCCCGCGCCCGACTAGCTTTGCTGCCTTGGACACCTCTCATCCTCTCTGAACCCCAGCGGGTCTTTCTCTGGGGCCTCTGCGTGGCTTTGGCATTAGCACGGGCAGGGCCCTGGCAGGGCGGCCTGCAGAGGAAGAGTGCCCGCTGACCACTGGCTTCAGCTGGGTCTCCAGACCTCAGGGCCTCGCCATTTCTGGTACTTCCTGCCTCCTTCCCGTAGTAAAAATGAGAAGGGTCAGCCGACTACTGGCTTTAAAAAGAATCTTTTGGGGGAAGTGTGATGTCTGGAGTTAACTGCATATCCTACCTTTGCCCATCCAGCTGCTCCCCCCGCCCGCCCTTGACCACGGAGAAAGGTGTCCTGTGGGTGTGAGCCGGTGACGGGTCTCGCTGACCGAATGCCCCCCACCGGCCTAGGGTCTAACCATGCACTGGTTGGCTGCTCACGCCGCGTTCCCATGGCAGCCAGACTTGTCTGGGGTGGGTCCTGCCTTCCATCCGGGGCAGCAAGCCACAAGCTGACGCCCCCTTTGCCTCCCTCCCGTAGGCAAGTGGTTCGTGAGCACTGGGAAGGACAACCTCCTCAACGCCTGGAGGACCCCGTACGGAGCCAGCATATTCCAGGTACTGCCCGCCATCCGAGCGCCCGGAATTCTGCCCAGAGTTGGGACCCACCCACGGGGATGGGGCTGGTGGGAGGCAATGCAGGACTTGCCCCGGCCCCTTCCAGCCCCCACCGGATGGCGGTCCAGGACGGGTTCCCCGGAGGCAAGGCCTTGGACACGGCAGCGGGACATACCCTGCAGGGCGAGGGCTTTTAGGCAGGGGTTCTCGTAGGATCTCTAGAGCCAGGGGGAGTCCCGTCATGCTCTTGGCTCTGGCCTTTGCGCTGGGCGGTCATAGGATGTACACCGGGCAGTGGAGCAAACTGGACAGCTCTTTCCAGAGCAGCGTTAGCCGGCCTTCAGGTGACTTTGTCCTTTATGTCGACACCTCGGTGTAAGGAGAGAGGTGCTGCAGGAAGAAGGGTCTGCAAAGACACGAG